TACAATAAGGTGAGTTTTGTTTAAGCCTCATTAGTCCTTTAATGTTATATAAAGGACGTAACTTAGATAAGGTTGGTTACGACTAGAGTTGCAGGTGAAACTAATTAATTTCACCAGGAAACTAGTGCACCGTTGAGGATTAGTTTCATCTATAACTCTAGTTTCACCATCGGTGCACCAGTTTCACCAGGTGCGCCATCGGCGCACCATTGAAGATTAGCAACTCTAGTTACGACACTTATGTGCGAGGAAGGGGCACATAAGTTCACTAATCCGATAATAATTCCTTTAAATTATATGAACCAAATCACCAACGTCACGTCTCTGGCGAGTTGCCTTATCACATAAATTATATATTTCGTGTATAAACTGCGTGTCAGATATTAGCTGAGATCAGTTTACTATAGAGCTCACCCCCCTCCCTCCCTCTTGAGAAGTTTAGTCATCCTGATTGGTTATAAGTATATATTTAGACCTGAGATTTTGTCTACCTCCCCCCTACCCTACATATCAGCTGATATCTGACACTTCCCTAACATTAGCATAGTGAAATTAGTAATTTTTTGAAAAATTGTTACACGAAATTAGGACACGTCTAATTGTAACATGGGTATCACAATCAATAACTGTGACGATACTAATTAAGTTGTTACAAGTAATATGTTACAATTAAACGTGCCCTAATTTTATATCATACAATTTAAAAAAATTATTAAATCCATGTTTTTGATTGACGACATCTCATATATAACCAAACCTTCCTAAATACGATGCCAAGAAGCCTATGAAAAATTTAGCCAACCATGCATTTAGAGAGATGTTGCATTTAGGGGTTAAAGTTTATATAAGTTGAACCAGAGGAGATAGTGCATTTGCAGAGGCTTTTTTATGAACGAGCATTTAGAGAACGTGCATTTAGGGGGTTTGGGATGTTCTATAGAATAGGTGGGCAAACTCCGTAACTCCGCCAAGTATCTATTAATGATTAGTAATCATTAGCGAAGCTTATTTCTTACATTGCCCACCTATTCTATAGAACATCCGAAGATGCAATTTATAAGTACTATTATCACAGAACAGTTTTGGATATTCTTGACAATAAAATAAATAAATGAATAGTAATATATGTACTTTAAACTTTATAATGATAATATTTAATTTTCTAAGTAAAAATGTGCGGTATATAATTCAGTTTTTTTTTTTTTTGCATAAATTAGCTTGACATGCTTGGGCATGCTTTGATATTTGGCGGGACACGCCAAAAAAGTTCAGGTCATCAAAAATGTACAATGTTGTTTTCTGGTTCAAAATTTCCATTTTCGCAACGTAAGTTACTCCCATTTAGTGAAACATCATCGTTATAGCTTATCGAGAGAATATTATATGTATTTTATTCTATTGAACAGAATTTTAATATTATTAAAAATTGGGGTTCATTATAACGATAGTGTATACTGATTCTTATGCAGGAGAATGGAACCTTGAATTCAATCGCGAAACAAGAAATATTATTATATATACAGTATATAAATGAATAATCTAATATATTTACTTGATAAATTGCAATGTCTAATCGGAAAAAAGAAATTAAAATATTCGGATAACCACTAATTTGACTGTATACGGTACAGAATATTTGTTCCGCATTGGGAATTGAATTAAGATTGATTCATAGCATATATTGTATTGTAACAAAATAAAAAAAATTAATTGGTAATTCGTCTCCGAAATAAGTATCACATGATGCATGTCTTATTATAAATTATTCATTTAGAGGGCTAATTACCAATTAACGTTAAAATATAATTTATTGGATTTAGCATTATTAATTAAAATGAACAATTAAATATTCCTTATATGCTTTAGAGTGTATTGTATTTGATATGGTAAACAAATTCATGACATGATTACAAATGTCCATTGTAGGCAACTTGAATTAACGCAGACGTGAGAACTACATAATAAAAATGTCTAATTTGTTAGGGAAAAAATAGTTCACGTGATCAAGATTAATTATTTATTTGTAACTCCTGGCAAATTTAGTGTAATATTTATTTGAGAAATATTATAAATGAATGATTTGTTGTTACATAAAAATCTCTAAAGAATAAATATGTTCATTTGACGAACGGAGAGAAATTACAGTACTTTTGCAGAGCGAGACTTTGGAGTCAACGTAATGATAAAATATCTATTTATCTTCATGAGAAGAATGTTTGACAAAATTATCGCAAAGTCTTAAAACGTTGAGAACAGGTATTTTATGCATTTTTTAAATTCATTGTAATGTTCGAAGAATTTTTTAGAATTTTAGATAAAAGTAAAGTCTAGATAGAGGCATAAAAAAATGTGCTCGCTTTCCTCGTCCTTTATCGAAATAACCAATTATAGATATAAATAATAAATGTTATTTCCAAAAACGTGCTTGAATTTTATTGATTAGCATTGATTAGCACCTGGTAGTTTCACATTAAGTGCGAGGTCACTAATTGGTACATTCTTACTTTAAAGAATTAAGAAAGTGAAAAAGTAGTGTCAATTTTGTTTGTTTACATTTCTCTTTAGTCGATTCAAAAAATTTGGTTCTATTTTATTTTTATTTTATATTTTATTTTATTTTATTTTTTTTTCAGAATGAAATCGTCGATATCAATAATAATAATTGATAAAAACTAACAAATTCCATATTTGAATTATTGCAGATTATTATATACAATATAGAACAACAAGAATGAATTTTAAACCTATAAAATCCAACCTTTCTTTTTCTTAACAAATAACTTCGATATTCTATAATTAACATTGTGTTAACTCAGTCTTTTGTGTTCACCATTATCAAATTTTTAATACTCTCTTTAAACTATTTCACTAAACTTATAATGGATACTCCAAGATCTCGCACAAAAAAAAGCCCCTCAGAACGACTCTCAGATTTAAAACGCAGGCTTTCCATACTTCCCGAACCATATGACACTGGGAATGGTTGGTCAAAGTACGATAAAGAAATTCAAGATCAAGACAACCAATATTTAAGTCCCAACTGTGTCATCGTCAAAACAGAAATTTTGGTATCAACTCAACAAATATCTAATAGCGAAGATATATCTAATGTTGAGCTATCAACAGAAGGGGCCGTAACGACGATTGTGCCTGAACATCATGTATCTTCCGCTATCAGTAATAAACGTAATTCAGCAATTATAAGTACTGCTATCAGTAATAAACGTAATTCAGCAATTATAAATACTGAAGAAAATAAATCCTACAAAAGGAGGAGTAAATTGGAATTTTTTAAACAAGACTATAAACGTAATTCAGCAATTCTAAATACTGAAGAGCATTACTCTCATAAAAGAAAGAGTAAATTGGACTTTTTTAAACAAAACGTATCATTAACAAAATTTCAATCAGCAATAAAACAATTTGTTGATACTGTTGGCAACCAAAGTCGAAGGTATAGCAAGACATTCAGTAGAAATAGAAAAGAAAATCCATGTGATTAAAAAAATTTTTTATATAACTGTGTAAAGAACCGATTACTGCGTATGATTTCATAAATATTATATATATTAACGTCTTTATTTGAAACTTCACTTTGAAAAAATTTGAGATTGATTTAAAGTGAAAATTATTTACTTAGGCAAATGTATGAAAATTTTTTAGAAATACCTCAGCTTTGAAGTAATTTTGAATATTTGAATAATAAATTCATAGTTATAAACATAACTAAAATCCTTTATAAATTTCAATAATACATATTTTTATAAGGGTTATGTCAACAGATAATAAAACTTTGACTCAAAAAAAGAATATTGGCCATTTTACCGACAAATTTTCCTATATCTCTATACATATCTTAATATACATTATTATATGACTGGTAGTTGGTCTGTTAGTTGGCCTCCCGTTGAGATACGTACGTACGTGCGTATCAGGTATGTACGTACGTACGTGATTAAATCATTATCTGCTATCTTAAGATAGTGATAGTTATAGAATAAATTTATCAAATTTACTGCAAATAGTATTACGTATAAGATGCATTCTAATCTCAATGCCCAAAATTATTTTTATGACGAAATACCACAAAGTGCCAGCTGTATATACTACGTATTCTCGAGATAAATTATGTATAGTGACATAAATCATATTTTAATTGGATTTATTAGTCTGCACTTTATGGTATTACTCTTGAAATTTGTTAGTTTAAATAATTTTATGTACGTACTGTTGAAAAGGCAATTGCGATTAATACGTAAAACGGTGGCGTTTTGTAAACTGTTTTACGTATATATCAGGTTACTAAATTCGAAGCTGAAATAATAAACACAAACCTCTATATATGCACCCCTTTCCCCTGGAATCGACCATATATGTGCATTTAGAGAGTGTAGTTTACTATATATCGATATGTAGTATTTTATAAGTTTGTTAGTAGTTGGGACTGATGCATAGTGTGCGATGTTTGATTGTAATTTATTTTATTATGTCCAAGCAAATTTACTGGACATAGAGCTGTATAATGCAGTGTTTCGCACGGACCGAATCGGACGTATTTTCGAAAAATCACAAGTATATGGCTTTAACTCTGATTGGTCAATCATTAAATGCATCCTTACACATACACTGCATATATCATCACGAATTGTATGCTATGAAAACGAACTGTAGAACGAACCACTTTTCACATTATCCCTTACGCCGTTTTACAGTCTGCAACTTTTTGAAAATTGAACTTTTTTGCGGATCATAATATAAGTTGTAATTTACGTGTGTATAATGTCATAAGCAATCTGAATCACCTATTCGAGAGCTTCCTGCTAATGTCATTTTTGGTATTGCATAGACTTTGAATATTCAACTTTGGAGGCCTTCAGAAGCACAAGACTATTTCATATAAAAGTCTAGTTGAACTTTCATAAACAAGGCATGTGATTTCGGAGACAAAACGTGATAGTTGGCTAAGATGATTGGATATCTGCGCCCAGGCAAATTTGCCCGCAAATATTGTACCTTACGACAGTATATAGTAAAATTCGCGATCAGATGATTGTGGTCTAGTCAATGATCAATAAACTTACATTAGTAATACAGCACTATGTCTAAGTTTTGTATTTTGATATTATATTCTGGTTGCATTATGAATTTTTTCTGCCATCACTATGTTACCTAAAATAATTCAGAGAACAGAGAAGTAATTTAGAAGTTAGCTATGGGTGTATATTTCGTCTTATTTAAAGCATGAATAGAAATTAAACATGTTCAATTAAATTTTTAATTAAACACTTTTAAATATACAGTATTTAAACTGCATAAAATTATAATAAAAATATGGGCTGGTGCAAAAAGATTGATACCTCAAATAGCTCCGATTAAAATATTTAGGATTAATAAAAATAAAATTATTTTGATTATTTTATTAATAAAATAAAATATTTTATTAATAGCAGCTTTTTTAAAAAATATTTACTATATAATTTACTATAGTAATTTACTGATATACCGTAAAGTCCCAAACATAAACAACCCTCTAAGCCACCCATTTTGGCTGATTTTTTTAGAAGTGTTGCTTAATTTCAGTAACTTTTGAAATACTTAATTCTATTAGCCAATATTAATAAAAATTACTCTTAATTTTATTT